ATCAGTTGGTTTCTTCAGTTCGAAACCACAGGTAGGTTGTTGAATATTTGTATGGAAATGAATTTTGCTATCCCTTACTGTGCTTTTCTACCATCTTATTGCAGTTCTTTCATTCCCGTACAACTGCACCGGTGAGTTAGTGCACTGTTGTCGTCTGGTAGGTCGAGGGTTCGATTCCACCAATAGCCACTCAGTCCTTCTACGAATCATTCATTCGTTTTGATAGCAAAATGGCATCGGCATATGAGTTAGACCCGGCATCAACTTGCTTCTAAGCAGCCCTTGAAAGAGAGCACTATAAATAACCTTGCCAGCAAATGGATGTTATCATCGAAGTCGGCGTTAGCGCTGAAAATCGTCTATCTATTAAGCGTGGTAGCCGAGTGAGAGCCGTCCAAACTTTTTCCCGGTGAGTTCATAACTCGCGAATTTGATAAGCTAGAACGCTCAACCCTTGTAAGGATGTTCCCCATCGAAGTCGGCGTTGAAGCCCACCGAGGCTGTTTCTCATTTGCTACCACTCAGACAATTTCCTCTTCCTTACCCTCACAAAGGGCAAATACGGAGGCGATTTTGACTTCTGACCACTTAGCTAACTTTTGCTGCACCTGCAGTAAAGTGGTGCATTTTGCAGGTGCGAAATCGAGCTACCGTTTTCTCGCTGGGTCATCGAGACAGCCTGTTAACATCCGATTTCATGGCTCCACTCATCGTGCCACACGTAGCGCAGCAAACAAACGAGCGCGTGAGTTGTTTATTCAGCGCCTGATCTGGCCCAATTCCTGAGGAGAGCATTCACATCATCTCGGCACAGGCAGGTTTCCGATACCGCAGCTAGTCGACTGTCGTGTAATCCCCTGATTTTCGAAGGTTTTGTAACTTTTTCGGGTGAGATATCTCGCTTTCTATCACTCAGTTACTGTTAACGAATCACGGGCCATCCGTCCTGGTTTTCCAGTGTTCTCTGCAAATATCAACGGATTTAGAAATTCTTTCGAAGTGGAAATGTTTGACGAATTTTTGCTCCTGGGATTGACCATGAGTTTAAAAAAATATTTTCAGAAATATGTTCCGAAACTTATGTTTCAGTTTTTTTCGTTCACGGATAAACTTTTACCGTCGTTATGCTACTGTGTGTTTCCGTGGTTGGTCTTCCTTTCCTGATAGCCCGCAGAACACTTTTTTATAATTCACATTCGCTTCACGGTTTCATCGTTTGATAAATTAAGCTATTCAGACCCAGACTAAGATAGCTTTTAAAGCTGAAAAGTACCTGCTGTCTCTTTTTCCTCGTCTTCATGGATTCCGTTGCGAAGCAAAAGCGAATTTTTTCACTCTATCGTTCGCACTGAAACAAAATTTCCTTTAATTTCCTCGGCTTCCAGTTCATAGATCAATGCTTCTCGTAGTTTAAGAATGCAAACTTCCTTGTGGCACTGTGAAAAATTCCTGTTGTTTTTATCTACATTTGCTACTGCGCAACATATGGATTTGCAGTTTCAATTTGAAAGTCTTTTCCGAAGTGTTCAGTTTGCACTGGTCGATCATTCCTCGCATGAATTCCTGTTCATATCAGATTTTTTCATGGTCAGTGGGCAGTCTGCGGTGGAACTGTTCAACGAGCTTATGATGCGTACGATAACGACGCTTCTTGTAAGTATGTTGTTACGGTTCACGCAGCCTCTGAAACTTACTGTTGCTAAGTACTCTCTCCAATTCTTTTAGCGTTTCGGAGAAATCACGAATTTATACTTTATAATAATTCTCTGAACACTGCTGTACCGCCAGTGCATTATTTCTCACTACACGGCTTCTTCATTCGCCTTATTTCTGGTCTCCCTTTATCCACAGTTGTCCGAGTAGGCCCACTTATCGCATAGGTGCCCGTCGCCCTGTTCGTTTGGCGTCCTGTGAATTCCATTTAACACCCCGTACTGCCCATCTATTATCACCTGTATCTGCTGCATGACTTAGCTTCTTCCTGGCATACATTCTTCAGGGCTAGCTGAAATCGTAGCAGTTCATCGAAAAGGCAACGAATAAATAAAACAAAATGAACATTATAATAAAAGGCACAGACCCAAGAAAAATAAAAAATTATTTGCTTTCCTCTGTCATTCCTAACTTTAGAGTATATTAAGTTCAAAGTTATTAAAAATTGTCACAGGACAGGGCCACTGGGCACATTCTTGCATTCCTCACTTTCCTCCCAAATTTTTACCTTTAGGATTCAGGAAATGAACAAATTTGAAGAATTTTTGAGAAGTTTTGGTCTGTACACTTACCAATAGCTTTCTGGCAGCTACTCACATTCGTTCACGTTTGATTGGCTGATATTAACCAGAATGTCGGTGGCCCGAATGATCTCGGTAATAACTGCTGATGCTGCTACTGTTTCTAGAAATCCAGTGAGGAGCATATATCTGGTAATTATGATGCGATATCTCTATACATCTGCATCTGTCTGTGTGCGAAATACAAGGAGCTGATGATTGAGCGAGGCGTTCCATCGATGGAAAGGTAAGGCTAACTGAAACTGTTGTTTTCAAGATGATATATGGATGAAGACCATTTGGATTGTCGGGTGAACGAAGTATTGTGTCAGGCATGGCATTACTAAGGCCTATTGTGCCTATCTTTTGTTTCCATTTAGCTTCTACCTTTAGTACAGTGGTTCGCTTTAAATTCCCCTACAGCGCAAATACCAGTCACTGATATGTTGCGCTGGTCAGTTAACGTCGCAGTTATTGTTGGGGAATTTTCTATGATACCTTTTTTGCCAGAGATCGAATGTTCAGCATCACCAGTGGGGCAACAAGTTCCTACGATTTTTATGCGTTTTTGCATTTATGTAAATTGCAAAGACGCATATTAGGAAGAGGCTGTCTGTGTGTGTGTGTGTGTGTGTGTGTATGTGTGTGTGTGTGCGTGTGTGTGTGTGTGTGTCTGTGTGTTCGCACTTTTTGTCA